TTCCAGGCACAGAGTAAATAAATTTGTCAATATAGTGGTAATTCCAATTCCAATTCTTTTTGAATATTCGATATTTTCCTATTATATTTATCTCTGTATCCAAGTTGAGGTTCTTCAGGGATGGTAATTTGACATGTTACAATATGAATCCAAAAGATTATTTGAGTAGTTTAGAAATCAAAAATTAAAAGTTGTGAAGTTATATTTGACTCTAAATATACTAGGGTAAGTTTTATTACCTCTAATGCATGCAAATCCATGTTCAACTTTTTAACTCTTGTGCATTAGAGAGACATTGAGTCAAAATTTAGAGTCATGTAGAACGTTTTTATCTTGTAATTAAGGTGACGGTCATTTTTAACTCTAGAGTTAAACCTAAAGTCAAATGTGACTTTGCATATAACTCCAAAGGCATATATGACCCTAACTTTTTCGGTGCATTGTAGAAGAATTAAGTCATTTTAAGAATCAAATATAACTTTTAACTCTAAATTTTTCGTTCATTAAAAATAGCCTAAAGTATTGAAGGTATCAATGGCACTCCAAATATTTGTTAATGGTCATTCGTGATGATGGATCAGTCCTTCAACACCATGCTTGTAATTTGACAGACCTGTTTGATAAGAAATTATTAGTCCTACTTGGAATTTAATAGATCTTCTTAGTTCTTTATGCTGATGACACAATAGTCATATGAACCAAGTCAAATTTGAGACCAAAATGCTTGAGATAAAAATATGTAGTCCTTTTCACAAATTGTATTTTGCTGACCATAGCAAGTTGTACTCGTATTTGTCTTGTATATGCGCCCACTAATAAGGATTTATTCTGGCAAACAAAAGTTGGCTTTCACCGAATGATCAAACTTTATGACGTATCCCTTTGTTATACCCAATTAAATAAGAACGTTAGTAACTTTCTTATCACACAGTCCAGCATATTATGTTGTTAGTTGCCAATTATATTTGCTAAGTAGATAAATCAGAATGTATATGCGATATTAAATAATAATATTTAAGAACATGTCAGTCTATCTGAGAAGAGATGAATATTCATCTATGGAAGATTTTCTCTCCTATCTATCCTCTTACCAAGACTCAAATGCAGTAAGCCACTTTATCAAATGAAAGGTATAAAGACCATTGACTCTAACCCTTCAATAAAACAGTGCATAAAACACATAAAAGTTTAGTGTGATAATTCAAGTTGTATTTTGCTGACCATACCAAGTTGTATTTGTCTTGTATGCCTTCTACTGAGAGTTTCTTTTTGGCAACAAAAGTTTTTACCTAATAAAAAACCTTATGATGTATTATTTCTTTGCTATATAAAATTAGTATGAGCATACAAATTTCTTGTCACACAATTGAACATATTATCTTGTTAGGTATTATCAATCAAATTGTTGAGTTGATAACGTACGTTAGATATACAATTCTAACAAACAATCTGATAGCATAACATGTTAGACTATCTAAAATGATATGATTATACCTTAAAAGATTTTCTCTCCCATCGTCTCTCTTTTAAGTGAGACTCATCGTAAGGAATGAAACTTTCTCAAATAAAGACATAAGTATTTTCATTTACTTTAACCATTAAATAAAACGCTGCATAAAATGGTATTAGTGGGATGAATTTTTAGGTCGATAATGCGACAAAGTTGAGCAAATAAAGTTGTGTAGGTATGGCGAGCAGGCACTCCAACCAGCAAGAAAGGTTGTTATAGTAAACTTATTATAAGTAGTAGTAGTAATTTTATCTTGTCGGATTAGGTCTCTGAGATTAGGGACATTTGAGGATGGAACATGGAAGTTCGAGGGACCACACTCCACACTCAACACTCACATATTTGATATCCTGATCCTCTCCTCTGTCACAGGTTCATGATAATTCCGTTGAATTTTTAGGGCAGATATTAGCTGTCTACCGTATAACTTTTTATTAATACTTTTTTGTGAGTTTGTCTTAAAAGTCAAAGTGAATAATTATCAATATATTTATATTAGAAGTAGAAAAACCCAAGAATTCAGAGACCATCACATAACAATCTCAATGAATCATTGGGGGAGAAGAAAATGACCCTGCATGCGCCCCAACAATCGTAAATTATCATGACAAAGTTTGAAAAAAAAAAAATGAGGATTGATTTTATTCCGATCCCTTTTCAGCTCATCCCAAATTCTTCATAGGTAATATATATGAGAATTCTAATATCATAATCATGCACCATGATAATGGTGCTCAAAGAAAAAACAACAAATATTAGTGCGTAAGATTAGGAGTGTGCTTGAACATATAATTTCCAACGGGCGAGAAACGCTTGCTCAATAGTTTTGGGATGTGAGTGGCTGGTCTAACAATTGCACTGGCTACTTTACATTCCACAACTATCTTGCACAATTATCGTGACGAAAAACAACAAAATGATGGGAGTTATTCAACAACCAACCGTAGAGCACGAGCACGAGGAAACCTCAAATTTATTTGGTGAAATTGACAAGATCTCCCAATACCATATAAAATAATAAAAATTCTCTGAAATATCAAAATCATGTTAATAATAATAATAGAGTTCATGAATTCATGGAAAACTTACGGATTGAGCCAAGTAGTATAGAACTTTGGATTTTCCAATGGAAGCTTTCGATGGTGGTGGCGGTGGAGATCTAAGATGGTGGGGAGAGATTGGTGGTCAAATATCATTTGTCAGCTGGGAATTTGTATCTCGATGTACAACCTTGCAGTTGGGCTATGGGCGGAGTCGGTGGTGGTCGTGATTCATCACTGGTGCGGTGATGTCTTGTAGTGGTGGTTTGGGCGACGAGATTAGATACGTCTGTGCTTGTGGTAGTGGCTTGGATGGAGACAGAGAGATGGCGATGGTAGAGAGAGATTGAGCGTACGTCGAGAGTCGAGACAGAGAGAATACAAACAAAGTTAGGACTGTCAGCCTTTGGACTATGGCCTGGGAGAGGTATGATATAGAATCCAACAATAAGGATTTAATCTCACTTGACTAAGTAAGGTTTTTTTCAGTAGTTTAAAATTACCAAACTAACCTTCTCTTAACGGGTTGAAAAAGGTTACCCGCTTGTGGACCTGTTAAGAACTTGTTATTAACATATTCGATAACGACTTGATTAGTTAACGTGTTTCCTGATTCCTGTTATTTTCGTGTCGTTTCGTATCGGATTAAATGGTCGTGCAAGGAATTGCCAACTTTTATACAAGCTATGGCAATCCAATCTCTAATTTGAGCTTAAAACATAAATATTAGGCTTTTAAATTGTCTCTTAGTACTATGGTAGTGATATTTCTCTTCACTTATAAGTGAGAGATCTTAAGTTCGATTCTCGCCAAAGACAAATTTGAACCAAATTATTATGTCTAGCTCATTATCAGGTTTAGCTCTTATTTAAAGAAAAAATGTGTGGGATTAGTCCAATCCGTTCTCTTATCATTGCCCAAGTGAATCCAATTGAGCCGGTGAGCGAGAAATGATCCTTCGAGTTTTCGACTGTTTACATCCTGTCAAACTCTAAATTCACCTAAACCAGGCATTGCTTTCTTTACATCCCTTTTATAACCATTTTGATAATCATTTTCTTTACGGAAATGATAAACACACAAGTTTAATTATAATGGTTGATCGTATATGATTCAACTAATTTGATTGATAGAATAAAAAGGTGTGTGAAAATGAACTCTTTTTTTGTACTAATGAATTTTTATTTTATTTCAATTGATATTGTGGGAGTAAAAAATCAAACTCGAAATATGTAGTGTAAATGTGAATGCTCACAAGTAACTGAGTTACAAACGATTTTAATAGGTACGTCGTGTGGATGATGACAACGTAGAGGTCCGTTACAACCCGGCTACAATGCATGGCAAACAGCGGAACGCCAGACCCAAACTCGGCAGACGTCTTCAAAGTAACCAACTAGGAGTCTTTGATTATACTACCCAAATACGTGGCCTTGAAAAGCGCCGCCAATGGAAAATACCTATATCCGAGTGCCGAAACCGGGCTACCGCAGTTCTCATGCGATGACATCGGAGTTGCTTCGGTTGCCCAAAAAATCATTCCGGATAACGCTAATGGTACCGTAGTTTGCATAAAGAGCAGATCCACCGGAGAAAAACCTATTGGCTTACGATGATAGTGACGTTCCGGGCTCGACTATCGTTGAATTCGAAGAGAAAGACGACAAGTCGCGTCAAAGGTATCAGGTAGTTACGGTGGACAGTAAGACCATCGCTCTCCGGAGCTTGTACAACAAGTTTTGCAGGTATGACAGCAATACCGACAACACTAGCAGAGTTTTAGCTTACTTTTAACGGCCATCGAACCGAGCATGACTAAAGAAACATATTTGCTTTCGAAGAGCCCGTTCTGAAGAGGACCGTTTCCGTTGATTTCCCTTCGATGATGCGGGACTCCGCTCGCCGTGCTCAGCCAAACTGCCACAAACAAAACTAGCAAAGATGATCCCGTCGCCATAACCATCAGCTTCGCACACAATTTCTCCACGACCACCACATAGAACAACAGCGCATCAATTAAGGCGGGCGCCAAGATCACCTGTGAAACCAGGATTCCATTTGTCATGAAAGGTAGGATATCGAAGTTTCGGTCGAGGCCAGCTATACGCACGAATACGGTGGACTGTCAGGTCCAGGTTCAGTTGGCGGAAGAGAAGAAGGTAGAGGTGAGCATGACACCGTCATCATCATCCGTATAAAAAATTATAGGGTTTTTACACACGTTTGTTGCATATATGCTTTTAGTTTGGATCGCAAATGATAAATTAATAACACTGTCATGCTAGGAGATTCAAGCCACTGCGGTTTGGCGAAACCCTGTAATTGGTGCAGCAGTATATCTCTTGACAATGTCCCTTTCAGAAAACAACAGTCCAATTGAATCGTTCCGTGACTCAGTCGTATTGTAGATCAACGTCTCAGAATTGCACCTTGCAGAACACTAAATAATATGAAACTGCAGAATGAATTCATCGCTCAATCAATATTAAAAGTTCAGAGTGACATATACACAAAAATGAATGCCAAATGAGAAAAAATGGCGTTACAGACAGCGCAGCCGATGAGGCATTCAATGATTAGCAACAACAAATTTTAGCCTCGGAGTGAATTTCAATTGTTCACTGGCAGTAAACCTTGAGCTACAACCCCTATAAAACTATTTCTACCATTAAAGTGCGCGAGCAAGACTTTTAAACTCATTCAAACAAGACTGGAGTGTCTTTTGACGCTTCTGAAGCGATTGTCGCTCGTTCTGCAGTACATCAATTGCGCCAGGTACGACAAACATGTCCATGAACTTCTCATCGTTCACAGCAAACAAATCCAAACCAATAGCCAGAACAAGCCGATCCCGACTGCATAAAACAGGAAAATATATAACAATGTCACCAAATCTGCCAAGGAATGATTTCCATGAAAATGTACATATTAGTATGATCTATATCCAAGCCAAATTATGTGGAATAAAACAAAAGAATTTAAAGAACGACGAATTTGTTTTTTTGTAGAAAGGTTCTGAAGCATTAAGTATTTGAGGGCATTTTGCAGGGTTCTGTAGGAAAGCGAAAAATACGTATGAAAGAAGTACGAAAGACAGACAGGAGGAAAACAAAAACATGAAAAGCGAAATGACGCGTATATTTCGAAATGTTCAATTTCACGAAAAATCTCGCGGTCTTGAAAGTTTGACTTGCAGAAGTAGACTAACTACTAAAATATTGAAGCAAGGTCATTGGTAAGATCAGCAACCTGTGTGTGCAATCAAAATAAAGTTAAGGAAACTCACCAAGGTGTTAGGAAACCAGAATTCAAAGCTGATGCCACATTTCTTTCCACAAGAACTTCACGTATCCGCCCAAAGTGCTGTGCAGCCGATGAACAGATTTCTGTGTAAGCTGTGGTTGATTTTAAAGTGCCATCAACATTTCCAAACAAAAGGGAACCACCATTTTGTTGTGTTCTTGTATTGTCAGAACTTCTGTTATTTCCAGGCATTCTTGAAATCCGCTTTCTTGCTCCTACGTCAATACCATTCCCAAGATCCTTCTTCAAGCCAGCATCACATGGCTGATCAGGTGATGGGGTCTCAGGCACCGTCATTTGGCTTTCTCGAAGAGCATCTCTGGCATCTGCACCTTTTCCAGGAGTAGTTTGTTGTGCGTTCTTTTCTGGAGGTATATTCTCCTGATCTTTCATCGTGGCATCAGATAACTCGAGTAAAAATGATGTGACTGAAGGCTGGTTAAAGTTATAAGAAGAGGCTGTACTGGAGCCAAAACCGCTTTGAAAGTCATTGCCATAACAAACCAAAGAGTAGGGACTTGTAACTGAATCGAGGTGATGCCGAACTAGTTGCTTGCACTGTTTAGCCAGCTCCTTTATAAATCGGTTGTGTGCCTGCCTAAGAGCAGCATGGAAACCAATATATCCATCCATATTTCCGGATTTCCTGCCACCTACACAGTAAACAAGGAACCCAAGGTTTTATTATCAGAACTGAGTACTATGAGTCCCATAAATATAAAGGTTCATATTTGAATCCTAGGTTGGAACTCAACAAAAAGAAATCAGGGGAAAATATAAAAGAGAAGCATTTATGTAATAGGTGTTAATGCAGGAAGCCAAAGATACAGTGAACATTCAATTCCAAGGAGCATGAAATTACTCAAAATTCCACATTCTACTCATTCCCTCATCTGTTAATGCACTTTTGATGTAAAACATTTGATCTGGAAAAATCAGAGTGTAAGGAAGACAGCTTCTTACATTCTGAATCATGGTTGTGAGTTCGTTCTATGGCAAGATCAAAAAGATTTCCCAAAACAAATGCAAGCCGATCACATGCAGTGTCAAGAAGAGGAGCAAGCCATGAGCGTGCAGCAGAACGTGCAATCTCTGCAGCTGCCTCCGTCACTGCTCTACCCCCTCCTCGGCTAGCATGGGCAAGTAGGATATTTGCCACCTGTTAGAAGACGACTTAGAACTTGCCTCTGTACAAATTATAAAAAATTCCTAGCTAAATTGATCTAGCAGAATATGTATTACCTTCTCCCTAGACACTGGAGGACATTCAATTGAATATGCAGCACAGTGAAATTCATGCATAACCCTTTCAAATGCAGCTCCTCCATAAAGTCGAAGGGTAGCATTGGGAGGCATTATATCTGCTGTGATGCCAGGCCATCCCCCAATACCACTTTCTGATTGCTCCTCCATAGTTGTTTTCCCCCATTGCTCAGGGGCAGGGTCTGCTGCTCCATCAATCAAAGTAGCCTTCGAAATTTACAAATAAGAGGGAATACAGTCAAGCTATACCTCTTAAACTCAAAATTAATCAGAACCTCAAAAAGAGAAGATTTTATTGAAGCATCTGAATAAATGACAATAAATGCGCTGACGAATTACTTGTAAATAGAATGAGAATTAACAATTAAATTTCTCTCTGACGAGTGCTTTTTTGGTTTGAAGACTAAGTTTTTTCCTGACTACATGTGGCATTCGCATTAATGAAGCAGCAATGGAGGATGATTGGTAAAAATTGAAAAGATACGCATATAATAAGTGTTGAGAATTGCCGGAAATACTATGGAAAGTTAAACTTAAATTCAAGTAAAACTTATACTTTGTATTATATGTTTTGAAAACCTGTCACAGATATTACTCACCACATGATTGCTTATAGAAGCTGCATACAGCATTGCAGATCTCCTGAGCTGAGCAACATCAGAGGTGGCCTGTATTTTTGAGTCCACTTTGGCTAGTTCACAGGTGACATCACTGCAGCGCTGCTCAAGCAAAGCAAGAGTTGCTGGTGCGGCTTCTTTGTACCTTTTCTGAAGCTCAGATTCCAAATAGTCTCTCAAACAGCTAAATCCAATATATGGTCTGAACTTCTCTTCATCAAAGCCTCCCTTAACACCCTCACGAAGGTGTCGTAAAACTTCACAATCTACTTGAGATATCTGCCGGCGAAATTCATCATTTGAAATAGTATTCCTATCCTTTGGCAGTGCAACAAAAAATGGATGAGTGTTTTCGCCAAGATAACCACTTGCACTCAAATAGCGGTCCACCTCCCACCGGTCACTAAACTCCTGCATATATTACATTCATAAATCCAAAATTAATATATCAAACAACATAAACACCATTTCAACAGAAGTACAGAACCAATTTACACTGCACCAAGCCATGAATACTTGGTGAGCTATTCATATATTTACCATGCCATAAATGGGCTCATGAAGATTTAAACAACTACATACCTTTAACCGATTATCAAACTTCGAGACCACGATAATCGTCCTTCGAAAGGTCGGATCAATATCCCTAATGGCGTCCAACCACAACGAGGAGCACCACTCCACGCTACTTTGTTGGAGAAACAAGAGTATACGATGTGGAGGACTAGCTAGTGACTTCACCATGGAAAGAATTTCATCAGGAGTTCTTTCAGGCTCTCCTTTCTTTGCCTACCAATAAAATTCAAACCATTAACACAAATCAAAATAAACGCACATACGTTGCAGTACTTGAATCGTAAAACCCACCTTAAGAACAAAGCCCGGAGTATCTATAATGGTGAGGTTCGGGCAGTGTGCGTATTCTGCTCTCATAACAATTGGCTTTGAAGAAACTGCACCTTTAGTTTTCTTCAACAGTGTCTCTGTGCGGGACTTAATGATGTCTGCAATGGCCGATGGCAAAACGACTGGGCTTCCATATTCTTCAGTATCCTCTTCCTGTTTACAATACTCTAATGATTAATACATTGTGTAATTAAACCATCATATATCACACAACTGAAATTATTGGAGGAAGTCCAAGGGCATTAAAAAAAATTGCAACAACATCACCTACATAGTCAGGCTTGAAAGTTTAGATTTCAACGGTACGAAACTTTAGTTATGTCGAAAGTTGTGTAGTAAATGACTGAGTAGAGTTTCCTTTCCTTTGGAACCAACACCAGATAAATGAAAACCTTTTTTTCTTTCCGTTTTTCGTTTCTATCAGTTTTTCGATTCGCTTTAAACCCCCCAAAAATAAAATATCAAAAAGGAAAACACATTTCAGAAACCATCCTACCCAACCTTTGTGCCAAAAACTCGATCAGTACACCATTTAAAACAAATTTTCTGCATTGATCGTAATTGCGTTTGTATTCCACATTTCTGCATATGACAAAGACTAATACAACTCAAATCTTCATGGCCGTTTATTTCCCCCAATTTCTCAGAAACAGAACATAGTTCATTACACGCAATGCCAAATGTGCTTTTTCTATTCCCATATGCTTCGAAATGTCGAAAACATTAAGAATCCGCAGAAAACAAGTACATTTAAAGCTCAAACTATCGTCAATTTTCTCAAGAATCCTCAGCAACCAAACAGAATCGACTAAAAAACCCTAAAATTATCATGAACTAACTAAAACAACAAAATGCAAAACATGAAGGAGCTACGAATGGCATACGAAAGAAGGCAGACCTGGAATCGGCAGCGGGGCTCAAGTGCGGTGGGGTCGTGGACCATTTGGAGAATGAGAGGACGGCGAGTGCCCATCTCGACTTCCCGGACATTGAAGCGAAACCCGAGGAGTGCTTCGAGGAGAGAGCTCTTGCCGTCCGATTGTCCGCCGAGGGCAACGATCTCTGGAATCGGGAGTTTCTCTCCGAATGCCACCGTGGCTGCCTGGAGGCGATTGTAGGCCTCGAATCGGGACTTGGAGTTGGCAAGGGAGGCCAACGACGAAGATGACATTTCGCTCTCGGCGGTGGAATCGGGGTGAGGATGTTTCCGGGAGCGGGATGATTTTCCCGACGGGGTTTTGGTCGGGGTTGTGAGGGTGGTGGTGTTTGCGGACATTGCTGCACAGAGATGAGTGAGAGAAAGAAGAGAGGGAGTGTGAGCGTTGGGGGGATTTTTGAATTTGAATTTTGAGAAATGAAGCCGATCGTCGTTTATCTCGTTTCTCAACGAGAGAGGACGCGAACGGCATGCCGTTGTTTTGTGGGTTGGGTTTGGTTTCGGGGGTGAGAAGAAGATGGGCTCGATTTTCGGCTCAAATCTCTTTTAGGTCCCGTTAATCGTTTATTTTGCCTGACAAACGATAGATTTTGTTAAATTAGTCATCGATGGTGTTTGAACTCACGTCATCATGAAAGGGCTCAACACCTTTCTACTACTGTGGTAAAGGGCCACTTGCACAAGGGATAGTACACTGAATAGCACAAAATTATTCATACCAAACATGAATATCATAGATTAAAGTTACATCTTTAATAAAAGACATACCGCTTAATTATGAAGTTGATTACTATTTTTTATTTTGTCAATAGTTTAATAAGGACAATTTTGAATGAGAAATATTGAGGAGACTCTCTCAAAAATGAGACTCTTTGTGGACTATTTGTCATCTCATGTTTTTCACATAATGTTTTATAATGTTCAAACGAGAATTGACGTTAAACTATAAAGTAACAGAAAGTTCATAAAAATGTTTACTTTGAGAGAACCCCCTTAACATTTCTCGTTTTTATTTTTACTTAAAACACTTCAATTCACAACCAACACTTGTTTGAAGTCATGAATATCGCTCGATGAGTGTTGAAAATCACGTCCGTAGCCTTGAAGCTTGGGAGTAAAATCCTAAAAATACTTTGAGACAATTTTTCTGTCAAATAAAGACGAAAATTAAACCTTTTTTTTTTTTTAATTTTTTTTTTTATAAATCCTTTCCTTAGCAAGGAAGAAATTTTATTGTAAAAGTAATTTAAAAGACAAAGGCCCACAAACAAATATTAACAAAACAAAAAGGTGCCACCCAAGCTAACTTTAAAAAGCCCCGCCAAGAGCCCAAAGTTTGATACAAAGCACCAGAATGTTCCAAATTCCTCCCATTGCCGCAACAGTTCTTCCCCATCAATCGAATTCGATTTCCCCAATTGACGCCACAACTTCCACCAAGTGGCACCACAGAGACAAAATGAAGTGATACTCCATCGCCCAGCCACAAATGCCGCACCAGTCTAGGCTAGAAATTGACAGAAGACTGTGGGATTACCACAAATAACACTGCCAACAAAGGCAGATAGAGAGAAGACGGTGGTGTTGTAAACACCCGAGCCGGCGTAACCACAGGAACTTTACATACCCTCTCGAAAGAACGCATCAAAATGCACTGAAAATTAACCTAATCGAAAAAGTTCGAAGAAGATGGACACCCATAAGGTATAAATGACTGGTTAAAACGGGAAGTATAAATGGGGAGAAAGGTAGCAAAAGGAATGAAAGGAGGAAATAGAAAGAAAAAGGCCAGATCTTCCACTGACTCCCACCATGGCGAGGGCAGGTAGCAACGAAATGAACGGGTTAGATGCTACTCACACTAACGGTGGGAAGGACTCTCAAGAAGAGAGAAAGTCTCTCACACTCGGAGACAAATCTCATAGTGTTTTTTTAAAACCACAATAATATTTCTTTCGAAAACAAATGGATTGTTTTTGCCTCAATTGAAAATTTGGATTGTATCTTGATGGTGCACAAAATCAGTGAGATTTTGGAACAACGTAAAATGTCAAGTTTGTGACCTTCACACGGTTGCTTTGATCATTATGTGTAGGTAAATATGTAGAAAGATAAAGATAGGGAAGCAAACACAAGATGTACATGGTTCACCCTAAGTTAGGTTACGTCTATGAGGGTCAAGGGCTTCTCATTAATAGTAAAGAGTTTACACAATACATAGATTCAAGCATATAATCATCATTAGTGAGTTCTAATGACAAGTTTAAGTACAATAATGGCTTAGGGATTATTTGTTGGAGAATGGTCTCCTTTTATAGTTGAGGAGAATCTATGGCTTCCGTCCACGGTTAATGAGGGATTCTAAGAGTTTTATTCTGATGTTGACATGTGTTGTGTTGTGATTGGCCTTCTGGTTAGAGAGACACTCTTGTGCTTCGGCAGGGGTGCATTAGCACGACTGCTTTAGTGGATCTATGAAGGTATGAAGTTGACCGGTGTTTGGTAGTTTCGGAAATGATGAAGTATGGTACAAACATATCTAATTAATTATCACACTTTCAATGTGGCCCTTAATCTGTTACCTAAACAAAACAAAACAAATTAAATAACCAAATTGAAAAAAATAAAATCACAATAACCAAAATTGAATTCGAGGAACACAATGACTAACCATACATTTTACCGTAACATAGGACTTTAAGACAAATGATTTAGAGCTGAAGTAAAACGTTCATCTCGAACTTGGGTACCTCATCGATCCAAGTTCCCTCTTCTCCAGTATCACTTGAATAAAGAAAAACATAAGACTTGAAGGGAAGCATAAAAGCCATGGTTAACACAAAATAAGGAAAAGCTTCCCGAGTAAGAGGAATGTTGGTAATGTTACTTTCAACATTAAGATTCAAAACATATGTATGTATGCACGAGACGTAGTACGCAGTTTCTGGAAAAACAAGAGACACATGAGTGCTAGTAAAGTTACCTTAAAATAATTTCACCACAAAACTGGGGAAGCATTTTGTCTCAGCAATGTCTAGCTCTTCAGACTCTTGTTTTACAAGTAATTAAATTAAATCATTGAGTTCCACTCCTCTTTTTATTCTCCAAGTCTTATAAAAAGACTAAAAAAATCCAGAACAAATTTAATGCTTTAATGACAGAAGAATACTAAGGTGATCTCTCTCAAAAGCGAAACTCTCTATATATCTCTATCAGCTCACAGTTTAACGTTTATTTCCGTGCCAACAATGTAAAATATTGTGTCAAAAGCATGAGGTGATAGATAGTCCATGCAGAGTCTCATTTTGAGAGAATCCCTTTAGCATTTCTCTTAATGATAAGTAAAGACTTAAGATTGTTTCAATTTTGATGGATTTGTTCTTCCTTTAATTAAAGCCGTTGAGTTTCATCCTGCTCTCAAGCCCGAAGCAATTTTGATGTTTCTCCAAGATCGTAAAATCCCTCATCGCGTCTGTTATCGTTGATTTAGGATATTCAAACACTTGCAATTAATCTGCAGGTGGTCGTCATCGAGTATATAATTTGTGAAGCAAACATGGTGGCAGATCAATTAGCTACGTATGGATGGAGTAACGTGCGTGCTACGTAACATTTCTAATTACTCAAATGAAGGATTTGAGAGCAGTGGTGGATCTAGGATTTGAACCTTGGGATTCCAGTGTTAAATTCAAGTTTTTCAGATAGAAACAAAGCGCAAAGCACACAAAAACAAAAATCAGTTTATTCACTTGGTGGGCTTGTCGTAAACATGTCAACAGATATCAGCACATGCCGAAGCAATCATATGAGTGATATAGAGAAAATTTGTCAAGCGTTGTTGACGTAACATGTCGAGATATGTCTAGCATGCATTATATCAAACATTTAGTAGGCACAAAAGAGATCCGTATAAAACATTTGAAGAGTCATCGAAATACTTCACCTATATATTTTTCTCACTCATATGGTCCTGAGACCACCTTGATCCTTATTTCCAATCGCCCTGTTTGAGAGTGTGTATAAATAAAAGCCCTAATAGACATTAATTTGGGTTCCAAGTGGCGCGACATGCACTTTGTCTTTCAATTTGGATTTCATGAAAAGTTACCTCACTTCAATTGGAGCTAGCATTGTACTTCTTAAATGACAAACCATGGCGGAGTTAAAATTTCACGTCAGAGGAGACCTATCATAGCAGTTTCCAAAACCCCTCAATTTGTAAACAACTTGTGACAAATTAAAATAAATGTTGATGCATGGTAAATAGTGAATTGTCTTAATGGTTAAGGGTCTTTATTTTTAATTTATTGTGGTCTAAATTCAAATCTTTCTCCCTTATTTTTGTGTAGAATATCGTTTGTAATAAAAATAAACGTATATTACTCATTTAGCCTTACTATGTTTCTAGTTTTTTCTAACAAGGTTAAAATAAAAAAATAGGAATAAGGGTTGCTACTGACCTTCTAATTCGTACCTTCTATCTCTATCTTCTTGGTTCTCTACCACATTATGCAATCTTGCACCATAATTAGAAACTGTCTACTTTTTAATTCATGCTTTAAATATCAACTTTGTGAAAGACCAATCAATTGTTTAACCGCTCGATTAATGTTGTCATAATTTTAGTGTTTAACAAAATGACATGATGACAATTGTTAGATAACTAAATGATTTTCGTTTCAGTTGATTTTGGTAGAGTTAATTTTTAAATAATAATTTAAAAAATAAACAATTTGAATCATCGTGCAATATACAAAATATAATATAAAAAGAAAAAAAAAAAAAATAGAACAAAAAAGTTTAAACGAAAAGGTTGCCATCATTAGACAAAACTTCACATAAAGCGTCACGTGCAAGTGGCCAGAATAAAAAGAAGAATTAGCTAGTAATTAGGTCAACGCGCGTAATCTCTGTTTGATTTGGTCAGAAATCAGAGGGCAAGAATGCACGAGAGTAGTCAAACCCTTCCGATTTTGGCAGTCCTGATTTGTTTATATACGTCGACAAAACATTGGATCAACCAATCAACCTTAGTGGGTGTAACATGGCCTAATTGTGACATAAACGCACTTTCTGCCGAAATAGAAGATCCTCAACGAGCAATGCTTATTACTTATTTTTCAATGATTATACTCAAAATTTCATATTACTCCTTTTTAAATATATCACTCTTATTAAGTTTTACGGTTTGTATTTTGTTTGTAAATATTAAAATTTTATGTTAAGTTTACACAATAAGTTAGCATAATAATTTGGTATTGAATCATCATTTACAGAAATAAAAAAATAATGTATATGTACACATATTGTTCTAATTAAAAATCTACGCTTAATGCCGCCTAGGTCCCGCCTAGGTACTAACCAGATAATTACCGTTCCGATTAATCTCTAGATGTTTGAAAATTAAGAAGTGATGCCTAAACATGTTTAGGCACCCACCCATATCACAATTCTCACTTAAACAAAACATAGATAGCTTACATTTTGCATTCTGATTTTTCACTAAATTGTTAGAGGCTTGTTGAATATTTGGATGAACACTCATTATATGTTTGTTCCCCATATTTTTAATATGTTCTAATACTTTATGATCTACATGTCATTCTACTTAGCAGTTCATAAATCCCAATATAATTATGTATTTCTTTTAAATATTAATAGACACTTATTTATACAATATGTAACAAGTTTACTTAAATCCGCCTAATCCCTTGCCTATATGCCCCATCTAGCCATTAAGCCCCAACCTGACGCTCTACTAGCGCTTAGCATTTTTTAGAACCTTACACATCAACACATGTCCTGAAAGCTAACATTTTTTACTTGAAAATAGAGAGATATTTGTAAATAGATCAAAATCCACGACAACTCATGGTTTTTACATTTACTGAAAAATAAGAAGTTTTGAACACATTACATAAACCACTCACATCGAAGACGAAAATCTCGGCAAGACAAGCTATCTGCCGAATCTCACTAATCCCGAATAACACATGACCTTCAATTTACATATTTTGAAAAATATCAATATTAAGCAATAAATATATTAAAGTATTTTAGCAATAGTAAAAGAACTCTCAATATCGTGGATGAGAATTACAAATATGTTGATCGTATGGTGATTGTATGTGACACATCTTCCTTTTGTCAATAAACATGTTATCATCATGTTAGACGGTAGACACAATGCAACGAATATATGAATTTTTTTAGTAACTCTTACAAATATTTTCTTATGTTATTTTTTATAAATGATAATTTTTAGTAACTTTTACAATATTTTCTTATGTTATTTTTTTTTATAAATGATATAGAAATATTCACAAATATTACATAAAATAAACTCAAAACAAATTACGACACTACAATAAGACAAACCACAATTAACTTATTAGTAAATTCACCACAAATATATATATACACACACACACACACACACATACATGTATACACACAACCCTCATTCAACCAAGGTGGAGATCACAAGTAGCACTAGACCAAAGACTATTGGTTATACATATTTATTTGTTTATTAAGTGATTCTTATATATGCTCTAATTTCAACTTTTGTTACTTAATTTGAAAATTATTTGTCTGAAAATCCATTATTAAATAAATAAAAGTCTTAGTTGACAACTTAATACATGTACAAAAGTCACACACACAAATGTTTTCTTCTTCTTTTATATGTATAGGTTGCCAATGTGACAACGAATCTAAGGCTCTTCCAAGGGCGGAGAATTAGGAAGCCAACCTCTTTGATCTCATGTGCTTTAGCCGAATATAATGCACTAATCAATGGATTAATCTTGACTCATTAGTTGCGACTAATTGGTTTATTCTCCTTGTTTATCAATTGCAATGTAGACTTTCCTTGAAACTCAACTTTTAAGTTTTAATAAAATAGAGAAAAAAAAAAATTAAAAACTCAACTTTATAAATGTTTAATTTTATGTTTAAAGAAACAACCTACAGTATAAATATCCACATCCTCCCTTTCTTTACACTCTTGTGGCCAACGAACCCCGTATTTTTTGAGACAATGGCCAACCTCCTCAAGCTCACCACCATTTTCTTCCTCATGATACATTCACTCCTAGCTCTGCATTTTCAAATGGCCTTCTCATCGTCGGAGCTCGAAAACAATGATGAAGTGTACGTAATCGACTCCCCGAATCCCAACTTTAGATCAAGAAGCAGGTTCTTGGCCAGCATCATCAAAAAAGGTGCACAATGTAACCCAATCAAGAACATTTGCAATGGGATTTCTGCAAACAAAGGGACCGGCATTCTCTATTGCTGCAAGAAACATTGCCGAAATGTTCTTAGCGATAAGAACAATTGTGGAAAATGTGGGAATAAATGCAAGTTTGGAATGCGTTGTTGCAATGGAACTTGCATGAATACTATTTCGGATGCCAACAACTGTGGCAAGTGTGGTAAAAAATGCAAGTATGGGGTTAAATGTGAGTATGGATACTGTGGGTATGCTTAGAAATATATATTCATTGTTAATAATAAATATGATGTGGTGGACAGGTTGAGTTGAACACTAATTGTGAATGTAGAGAAATACATGTATCACTGGGGAGCTAGAAGCCCCAGTTTTGTATTTCATTATTGCGTTTATACGTCACAATAAACGATATAACTACTTTTAATAAGGTGGCTAGAGTGTTCATCTTGTTTTAATTAGCATGTTCTTCGCAATTTAGTAGCTAAGCTAGGTTTGTAATCTGTTTAAACAGCTGCTTCTTTTCCAATTTTCTTCAAAAGCAAGTCCTCTTTAATTTTCGCTCAAAGCCTGTAAAGGTTGTTTGTTTTGTTTTCCAAATGCGATTGAGAGATTGGAAAACTTGCTGAAATATACTTTACAAATTTAAATAACTGAAATGATTCTTTTTTAGGATTTGATCTAGGTCGTCAATGTATCATTTTCTTTAGGCGAAATTAATGATAGTGGTTTTATTAGCATTTTAAGAAAAAGGATAACTTCAAATAGGACGTCCTAGGTTAAATCTGAAGGATCCTCAAACAAAAAAGACTCCAAAACAAAAGACAAGGCCAACTTGCCAAGCTAATAGCCACTATATTGGGGGATTTTTGAGTGTGAAAAACATGAGAACACATCCAGCACTCCAAAGCCAAAAGAACTTTAATCCCGACAACTAAAAATTCAATCATTTCATAATCCGCCTCATGGGAGACTTTGCACACAAAATTACCAACAAAACTAGGAAGGGAACACTCTTTTGCATATATACAAGCATCACTGACCTTAAAGAAAAATTGCAAAAGAAACAAATAGTGACCACAACAATAGGCACTATGCACACAGAACCACCAACGATGCTATTGGTTAATCAGGGTAAACCGCACCAACGCCACCATGAGACGTGAACAAAATAGAGCCAAAGTTCGATGCAGGGTATGCCTGATCTTTTGAAGAGAACCTCAGGCTTTTAGGCTACAAAAAATGCCAACTCAAGACTCTTTCAGATCCATGAGCAGTTATGTTAGATTGTTCCCCGTTTTGAAACTTACAGATAAATAATGAGCTTGCAAACTTCCCCTTCTTAGAGTTAATTTCCTCTATTTGAACCAATGTAAAATTGGACATCAGAAATGTCAGGCTAAAGACATTAAGAGTTAAAGCTTGAACATAACTGAGGAGAGGGTGATGCTAATATTCAAACTCTTGAGCTGACTGGGGCATATTTGGTGAGCCTACTAATGTAAAACCATAAAAAAAACACATCTCCAATCAAACAGTCAATCATAACCTTTGTTATAGTGGGCAAAAGTAGGTGCAAGTGTTGAAATTGTCTGTTTCTCCTTCCTAAAAGTTCTCTAACATCTTAGGGTTTGCATTCGCCTTATACCCTAACCAATGTCATGAAAAAAATGACATAAGAAAGCCAGGGACTCGTGAAGATTTAGTCCATAGGGTGGAGATTATATAACATGTAACAAGTGCTCGCAACTTTGATAAAACCAATTGGTGTTACATTCGATCAAACCAATTGGCGTCCAGGCATTGCGAATGTTAGGGAGAGCGTCTACCGTTTTGGGCTTAGTTCAGCCCTCTCTGTACCAACATAAATCTTCGATTAAAAGATTAGTAGGAAAGTGAAAGTCCTAGGATGGGTACTAACTTAATCTATAAATGACAACTTAACACTAAAGCAAATTATGGTTTCGATTAATCAGTTATGCAAAATTAATCCTACACAAATATTCAACATGAATATAAAAAGCACACACATGATGTAGGATTTAACGAGGCAAAACCCACCACTGGGAAAATCCTCGGGCTACCAAGCCAGGAAGCACTAAGAAAGAAAGAATACATAAAGACTTACAAAACTCATCAACTAGACACTCATACCAGTTGGCAGCTTTGTCTTCGCGCTTTGCTACTCGATCTTTCTTCAGTCCTCGAGTTGAAGTGGCACGGTACTAATGCAACCGTCAATCACCTTTCCCTCGAACTTTGCACGATGCTAACTCAATCATGCAGAATGTTTATATGATGAAGTGTTTGTTTGGAAAACAATCAATTACGAAAATCACAAGGCTCATTTCCATAATTGATATTCAATTTAAAACCTCAAAGAAAAACAGCATGAAAAATAATATCTTCTCTTAAAAACCCATGCTGTTGGAACCATAAGCGAACAACAGTATTTCAATTATTTTTCCACGCACACGAAAAACCCAACTGATGCTTCTTCAAAAATCCTTTTCAATAAAATCAGTTTCTATGCATAAAGTGGTTCCCTTTAAAAACACATGCTAATGAAACCACAATATGGCAGCCACTGAAAAATAATGTTATATTATTTAAAATCACAAAGTTGCTGCCAATCTATCTTTCAAGAAAAACATGCATATATGCGGCTTCAAAAACGAGCACGTCCCTGACTTCCCATATAAATACAAAAAGCACCGCAACCGTTTGAATTGATAAGGACGACATCCATGAGTTAGATGACTCCCACCAACATGCAATCACTTAAGTTTCCAAACACGGTTTGAACACTCGGTTTGATAAGTTCCAATACAATCAGATTCTTTTGCATGCGTGTTTTATTAAGTGATAAAGAAAGGATAAGTTATTTGAAAAGATAAACCACACAATGGTTAAGAGTCCTATCTCAAAACAATAATATGAAATATAGATGAATGTAGTTGGATGCATGCATGCAAACGTACCTGAATATTTATCGCGTGTAGGTAACATCTTTGCATCGAAAGTGTGAGAACCCTTCCTAGACTTAAACTATTACAATTGAAAATATATAACAAGTCTAAGCTATTACAGACTCAGGCAATTTGTCAGGGATTGCCAATTTTACCCTAACAATCTCCCCCTTTGGCATTTCCTTGACAAAAACCTCAATAACAACATTTTAGAAATCTTAATCCTTATGCACTGAAGTCTGTAATCTGCACACAGTTAAACAAAACACCCGTGACGTACAAAAGATAGATGTTGCAAGAATGTTAAGATAATCATTCAAACATATCAACATCCCTCATCGTTCAACAATTAAAAAGAGACTTTATTAAGAAATCCAAATAAGAACATAAATATGGAAACTCTCACAACTAAAAACTAAAAGGTAACTGCTAGCTAAAATCTCTCCCCCTAACTAAACTGTCTAGCTAAAGTCTCTCCCCCTAACTATAGGCTCTCCCCCTTTTTGACACAGGAAAAGCCAAAGACGATAGTAAATTAATCATGCTTGGCGAAACCGTCATCATCAGAAATCTAGTAGAGATCTTCTTCTGGATCCTCTTCGGGATCCTCTTCGGAATCATCTTCTGGAGTAAGAGTAGGCAGCGGTGAGTGGTCCTGAATAGGTGGACAAGGAGTACTAGTAAACGGTGGAACACAATCAGCGCGGAAGTCAATCTCGTCATCAGATGAAGAAATATGAATAAGAGGAGCAAATAAGTGGCTGGGAAGACGATGAAAACATTGCTCCAAATTAGAAATACGATGACTGAGATCATTTGTGGAGGACTTAATGAAACGTTTGAGCAAAGAAATTTTCTTGTTCAGATCAAGCATTTGTTGGAAGACCGCTTAGGAAAAATTAATATCAGGCGAAGCTGAACAATTAGATGGAGAAGAAAACAATTGACGTTTCACAGAACGTGTACGGGGAGGAGAGAAGGAAGATTAATAACAGGAGTCTTGCCTTTCAGAACAGGAGGAACTGCAGACTTGCGTGAGGATGCCATGACAAAAAAAATGTTGGTGTACAACGTGCAATGAACAATGAAAGAAACCCGACTATAAGTAATAGAGAAACACAAAGTGACTCCAATTGCAAAGCAACCAAAAGACCAAAAGGATAAAGAATAAAACAAAATACACTATGTAATGTCCACAGAAACATAATACGAACGGGAGACTGCCAAAACAATCGAAACCATAGGCATGCAATATGATGAAACAAGCCAACTTACCAGCAACCCCTAGATTCACACGGAATAGTATCAAATATCACTCAAAGTGTTTGGGTTAAAGTGTATACACTCAAAAAGAATCATTATGTGAATGCTCTACCATAGGCTTGCAGATCAATCTCATCTCCACACATCAACAACCTACCCTCAAGAGATGAAGTAAGTTCTTACGAAGGATTGGAATAGGGCGTAGGCACTGGATGAAGTTAGAAGGGTATAAGGAGAACATAAGTTCGAGAAGCTATAGAGTCCTTGAGACTCAAAACTGGAGAGAATTTGATGCAGTTGATATATTCGAGGTCTTCAAGTACAACTGGACCTTTCAGGATTTTCAGAGATAAACACCCACCATGTATGTCATACATACACCTTTTGATTCCCTTTTTCGTGTTCCTTTTTTTTTTTTTTTTTTTTTTTTTTCTTTCAAATCTTTTCTTAACTGGGGAGGGTGCTATCATCACAATATTTGTGGTCTGCAGTAGTGAACCAACCGTGGACCTTTCTTAAAAAAAAATTTGATGCAACTGTCTTTTATGTTGCAACGGAGGTAAGAATCAGTGTATAAAAATGGAAGAGGGTAAGATACACTTAAGGAGAGGCTCAATAATGCAGATAGGAAAAATAATAAGGCACTGGCTTTATAGGATAATGATGAAGAACGTAAGTCCTAATTTTCATCTCAAGAGGAGAGTAAGAAGTGATACAAAGCCTTAGAGAGATCTCAAAGCAAGTTCTAGAAAGTCAAATCACATAAGATATAGCACACAGAAACAATTAAGAGTGTATGAAAAATGCATACATGTTTAGCACAAAGCAAAGAATTTTGTGGACAAAAGTTGTGCATAAAAAGATATGGAAAACCCTCTTTTTTTTTTTTTTTTTTTTTTTTTTTATGAAGCTAGAAAAATGAAAAGAGAGAAAAAGAAACATGAAAAATGAAAACCAACAGAAGTTAAGACACACGACATATTCCTAAAGCCTTGCGAAGGGTTTCAAAACGATGAGTGTCTAAAGGCTTAGTAAACAAGTCTGCAAGTTGATGTTCAGTGGCAATGT